AAATTTTAATAAAAAAAACTTTAGTAAATTTAGAGTTTTAAGTATAATAAAACTAACCACATCCTTGGGGTAACAATAATTGAACAGGCCTGTCATGTTTTTGACATAACCACAAGATCACGACCGTAGATTGAAGACGATGTTCGACCTTAAAATGGAAAAAAGCGAATCCAGTTTATGCCACCTGGGTCAGTTCATGGAGGATCTGGTCAATTGAATTATTGGGAAGCGGAAAAACCCCCCACTCACGTGTCAACTAGCGGCTTAGGTATTTTTCTACGTGTGCCAATGGACTCCATTCCCGCCATGGTCCCGCTTTCCATGTACCCATCCAGTCAAAATTACTGTTCGGGTAATGTTTTATTTCCCTCCAGACTTTCCTGGGGTTTATTGATTTTTATATTAAAATTTTTTTATACATTAAAAAGTTATTTATTTAATATTAAAAAAATTTAATTTTAAATTAATAAATATCAATTAAACTCTTATTAATAATTTTTATATTAAATTTGAATCTTTTTTGAAGATAATAGTGAGTTTAATAATTGATTTATTGATACTAATTTGAATTTAATTTTTATATGAAAATTGATTTTTACCTTCCAAAACTAACGTGCACCTTCTTGAACAAATTGGATTTTTTATGATCTCACATCGAAATCTAGTGGTTAAGTCTCTTAATTTAGTGGAAATCAACTGTTATAAATTACGATTTTAAATCTCACAAATTTCATTCTCCTGAATTGCCTTGTTATAAAAAATTACATTTTTTATGTTCATTAGTAAAAACGCCAAATCCCTTGATAGTAAGGCTAACCCTCTATCAATGATTAAAGGTATAACGTATCACTACCGAACTCTATTCCACATTTTACAAAGGAATAAACAAAAACAAATTTTATTAACTAACCCTAATCATATATATTTATTTTTGAGAGTCGAAAATCAATGCGTTTTTAGCGCTCAATACATTAGTCATTGTTAAATAGGTTTTAAGAATAATATTCACTCATAAATAATTATAATAAATGTCATAATCAAGATATCTTAATTTTTATATTTTTAAATTTTTTTAAACATAAAAAAATTATGAGCAACGAAAAATTTTTTCAAGCCATAAGTAAGGATTGAACTCTCAATAATTAAATCTAAACGTTTAAGATTTAAAGACCAAATATTCATCAAAAGCTCGGTTCGTACCTATCGTCATATATTGAGAGTATATTTGAGTTAATTTGTAAAAGTTTTTATTTTTTATATTATTTATAAATAATAAATTTAAATTTTTATTAAAAAATTTAAAAGCTATTTTTAAAAATAAAAAAAATTTATAAAAAATTTAGATTTAAAATTTTTATATGTTTATTGATTGAGATTTTTTTTAAGATTAAAAAAAATTTTAAATATAAATTCTCTTAAAAAAATTTAAATTTATAAAATATAAATAATATCAAAAAATTAAATCACTTATAAATTTAAACAAATATATGATAAGATTGATAAGAAACGAACAGAGAAATTATAGTGTAATACCGAACAGATACCTTAGAGTATACAAGCAAGCACCGGACCGTTCATCTAAAATGTCAAATTGTTAATCCAACCATCAGATGATGATCACAGTCTCGGGTGTCCATGGGGAGAAGTGTAGGTGATAGAAAGGATCTTCGGCAGCTATGATTGGGTGGGGGATTTACCGAGGGAGGGCGCCACGAGGCAGAGGACCCAGCAGCAGGGGTTGGGGCGGACTGTAGTCCGCGTTTCGCGGCACAAGGAGACGATGGTGATAGGGACGGGACCTTCTGGTGCAGTCAGGAGGGGGCGCAGCGGTGTCAGTGATAAGTTACGTCCGTTTTCTTTTGCCTTTTACTTTTTTTTGTCCCCAGTAAGTACTACTCATAATTTCCGCTTCTGATTTCCTCCGTCTTTATTCCAAGGCTAATGATACAAAATGAAAAACCCTAATATTTGAACTCCATTTAGCGGTTCGATACGTTGCGCGTTTCGTTAAAAGAGATGGGATAGTTATCAAATTTAGAAATCAAATTTTTAATTATTAATAATTAATAAAATTAATGTATTAATTATTATCTTATTAGTACTTAGTACGTGTGACCCAATAACTACAATCATTGAAAAGTGCACATTCCTCTCCCCTGGGTGGGTTTTGAACCCGCCTCACGACAAAATTGTTCCAAAAAAAAATTATTATCTTATTAAAAAAAAAAACCCTAATATTTAAATTCCCCCCAGTTACCGATAAAAAAAAAAAAAATCCCCATTTGCCTTGCGATGCCCTCCCACACCCTTAGCCCCCAAAACTATGTTACATAACTTATATCACCCTCTTTGCCAATCCCATGTAAAACAGTATGCAATTGTATTTTTTAAAAAAATTTATCTATTATATATCTTTAAAATAGAAGATAATAAATAATTATTAATTAATAATTATATTAAAAGATGTACAATTTTAAAATAAAAATTAAGTTGTGATTTTAATTTTAAAACAAATAAATAAAAAATTGATATGTGGTATTTATAATTAAAACAAACATTAATTTTATTATTTTTAAAATAAATTTAATCATAATTATATAATCATTACATTTTATCCTATTTACGGCAAGCATAGAATAAATAAACCATTTTTTAAAATTAATCCTAAGTCAAGCATACAAAGGGAAATTGCCAATGAGATTTTCCTTTTAAAGTTAATTTATTAGAGATTTAGGTATTGATCCAAGTAACAAAATTAAAAAATGTTACACAATTTAAATTATTTTAAATTATATGATATTTATTATTAAACAATAATAATTTTTATTAAAAAAATAATTTTTTATTTAATAATATAATAAAATTCAAATAATAAAATAAAAAAACTAATAATAAAGAATTATGGGTTTTACTATAGCGAAAGACGAGTTTTTCTTCGGTCTTTTTCTGAATTGTGTATTGATATTATATATATATATATTTACCTATGTTATACATTAAAAGGACATTATAATTTTTTTTGTTGGACTTACATGAGATAGTTTAGAAATTTCAAAGCATGATATGTGCGAATTAACTTGGAAATATTTGTCTTTAAAAAAAAATTAAAAAATTATTTTATAGTGTAAATTATATCAAATAATAAATACTTAACCATGAGAATATTATTCAAATCAATAATTGATAAAATTTAATAATTTAGTACAATTTAAATTATAAAATATTAAATTCTTTTCTCATTACCGTGAATGATCATCAATTTTTATTTTGTTAATAGAAATGTTTCTAATGAAAAAAAATTGAATTGCAGGTTGCTGAGCTAAAAGAGGAATGAAAAGTTTGGTTGTGGTTTCATCCACGAGTCAGTTTGTTCTCTTAGGTGCATCCACTAGTCACCTTTTTTTTTTAGGCCATATTTTTTTTTATTATTTTATTAATTTATAATTTTTAAAATAATTAATTATAATATTAAAGAATTAATTTATAAATTAATTTAATTTATTAAATAATAAATATTAATTATTTTATTTAATATTTTTTAACTGAAATTAAAAAATATCAATTATATTTAATATGCCGTAACAAATTAAAAATCATAACCATAGGTCTACAACCAAAGGAGAGGGGTATGTTTGGGAAATAAGAAAGATGATTTGACATATGAAACATATTTTAAATGAATAATATTAAGAGTATTTTCAAAAAAAAAAGAATAATATTAAGAGGGCAAAATTTATAAGAATAAAATATAAAATTAGTAACATAATATAAATTATATTATTTAAAATATAAAAAAATATATAATTAAATTACTAATTTTTTATTTTATTAAAATTTATAATATTATATATATTAATTTATTTAATAATATAATTTGTACTACACCGTTCATTACAAATTTTATTTCTTATTTCACTATTTATTGTAAAATGGAGGGAGATCTTTTTTTTTATTATATAATTAAAAATAATTATTTTTTATTTATTATTTTATTTTATTTATATGTTATGTGATTTAAATTTAAAATTTTTATTTTTAATAAAAAAATAATTATTAAATTATTTAAATTATTCACCGAACGAATTTTTCTCATCCTCCTTGATTAAATCTTCACCCTGAGGCCTGAGAGTCTGAGACCCACGCTCTGAAAGGCCAAAGCCGAAAGCATATTTTCAAGGGAAAATTCCATTCCATGATCGCCGGTTCAGTACCGACTCCCTAACATCACCACCGATTGTGATTTAATTGAAGGGTGATGATGATGATATTGACGGGGGACACTGGTCCACAGCACAGTAGCAGCCCATGTGCAGCTTAGGGGTACACGGGAAATCTTCCTTATTAAATAAACAGAAAGCCTGCATCATATAGTATGGGGATTGGTGAGAATAAGTGCCTATATGGGTTTTCCTGGTAGGAATAATATAATATAT